TCAGTGCCTTGCAGCATCGATGGGCAAAGCAGGATTTAGGTCACCTGCCCAGGGAGCAGTGTGCTCTCCTGAGCCCTCAGGTGCTGACAGAAGGGCAACTTTTGAACCAGACTGTGAATCGCCTAGACTCTGGATAAGATGTTATGCTTTATTTTCAATGAGGGACAATGACTTTGCAACTGCCCATCTTTAAGTAATATCTGTCTTAAGAAGATAGAGCTGCTCATGTCTTCCTGGGTGCTTCAGCCTTTGCATAAGGTCCTGAAGAACAGCAGCAACAACAAATCTCATCCGCTGCTGATTTTCATTAACCACATGAGAAACTGGGTTAAGCTACCTCAGGCAATAAAATCCTGCAAGCTCCTGCGAGGCTGTCATTGCTAGGGAGGCTCTGTCAGCTGGGAAAGGGCACTGCTCTCTCACAACAATGAACATAACTGTGTTATAAATAACTTATTGTTCAGAAAGAAACAGGAAGAGAAAAATTTTCACTCTTTCTGTTCTAGTTTTCTCCCTTTTGGGTAGCATCTAAGCAATTTGGTTATTTGCAGCACGAAAGCAGAGCCAGTCAGGGCCAGCAGCAGTAAATCCAAGGAGACAGCAGGTAGGGCAAGCACATGGAGAGGAGGAGAGGGCTGGTCTGGTGTATCTGGTGGCTAAACCTGACTCACAGGCACCAGGTTGGGTTCCAAGGTCTCCCTTGCTCAGAGGGTGCCTGGTCATCACTTGTGCTGGCTGCTCTACTGGAAAGTAATCGGAGAAACGTGCAGCCCAGTGCCTTGCAAGCTGTTCCTACAGCCTGGCTGACAACTGGTCTGCTGAACCAGCCTGCCTCTATAGATGTTTCCGTTGAAATTTGGTGGTGATGTTATTGGACAAATCCCACGAAACAGATCGTTCATATGGTCTGTGGGAACAAAAGTTCAGGAATCTTTTTTGCTTATTGCATGAGCAATAGAAAGCTGTTGCTGGCACTCACTGAGCCCACTCGAGTGTCTAGGCTTGCTGTGTGTGTACTTGCCCTGGGCCAGGGGGAAGGCAGGTATATTTTATGCAATGTAAAAGCAGCTTCTGAAATCACTGTAGTGCACAATGCCTTGAAATTGGCTGCTGTCATCCCAGGTAAGAGAGTGTTGCTGAATATGGATGATTTGTTTAAACTATCTAATGTCTGTTTATCGCACTGGCCAAGACCTCTGTAAGGAATGCAGATGTTTAAGCAGCTGGTCTGAGTCCTACTGAAGTACCTTTCAGATACATCAGAGATTCTCTACTCCAGGGTCACATGTACCGAGCTCCTGGCTGCAGTAACAAATTTTCTTCATTAAAAGTGCTAGTATCTCTCCTATTTTACTAAGTTTATTAAACCTGACTTGCAGTATTTAATAGCATTGATTTCTCAGTACGGCTGCAGAGTGTGGGTCGTCGTCTCTGGTCAGTTTAGTAAACACTTGACATTATCTGGTGTCTGAAAAGACAGAAAATGTGGAACTCTACAGTTGCACATTTGAAATTGCTTTTCTCAACAGAGCAGTGCTCTACCTATTCTATATTCATCATGGGACGGGAACAAAGAAAAAGGCCATTATTTGAACACAAAAATGTTATGCCAAGCTAGTTGTTGGGATGCCTCTCTTCCATCCAATCTGAGAAGTAGCTCTGTACAAGGTGGTCGTTCAGCACAGTAATGGAGAGGACTGAAAAAAGATGAATCAGAGAGGCAATGAGAAGAGGAACAGTATGCACAAACTGGAGGGAAGCTGACAGGTACAGAATTACATTTTTCTTCGCGAGTATTGGGTGGGGACTTTCTTCTGTGGCTGGGTGCAGACAGAGTTGCTTATGTTTGGAGAGTGGCTTTTTTCTGTCCAAATGTTTGAGATACATGTATGTGCATTAATTCATGTATTTGTCTATCTCCAACAGTTTTGGTGTTAAAAGGCTTTGGGATGCAGACAGACTAGTAGGCAATGAACCTTTCCAATACCTGAGAGTGATTTGCAGTTTATTCTGGCATGGCTGGTTGCAGAAGCTAATCTTACAGCAAATTAAATAAATGTTTCTCCCCTCCCCTTCTTTCCCTCACAACTTTCCTTTTTTGTACATTATTTGGCATCATTGTACCTGGCTGCTGGAAGCTTGACAAGATTCTCCTTTTTTTAAAAATTTTGGGTCTGTCCAGAAGAGATTAAAGTGGTTTGCTCTGCCATTTCTCCCAAGGGTATGAGGTAATGCTGCAATTTTAAATGCTGCCTTGTTGTTTTTCAGGACTCTGCATCTGGCAGAAGGAGTATCTAACTCTTAAGGTTAAAATCCAGCCCCGAGTGATGGAAATATGAAAAGGAGCATATTTGAGCTTGTTGCACCTTGGCGTGTTGACATCTCCATTGGTAGCAGCCGCCTCCGGGTCAGAGGCGAGGGCTGTGCTGCGGTGGGGGAGCCTGTCTGCTCAGGGGTTTATTCGCACCCAGGTTTGTAGATTGCAAATTCCCCATGAGCCTGAGAACCTGCTTTGCTGCTGCTTTGGCCTCTTGGATGATGGAAGGATTTCCAGTTCCCAGGGTAAAATCTGTAACAGAAAACAAATGTGGCAGAGAAGGGCAGAATAAAGGCCTGAACTGCATCTCAGTATTTCCTGTGATGTCGGTGCCAGTGTTCCTGGGGAATCCAGTCCAGGCCCTCACCTGGGGAAGTGGGAACAGTAGAATAGGGGGAGAGAGGTCTCTGGCTCCTCAATTCTCATCACCTTTTGTTTTCTTAAACTCTCGCTCCCAAAGGCAAAGCTGTGGCTGGCTGAGCATCTGCCCTGCGCGGTAATCAAAGGGAACTGGAGCACAGAAGGTCTCTGAAGAGAGCCGAGATGGCTTGGCTTTGTAGGGGGCTGATGAGATGCCATTCATTACCGTGTGTAAAGTACTTTTTTTATGTCTTGGATCAAGGTGCTTTAAGAGTGGCTGTGCTTTTAGTAATGGCTGGAGGTATCCTTCCCTGTAGTGTCAGTGACTTGGCACTTTTTTCTCTTTGCTCCTCTCTGGGGATGAAGGGGCAATAGGAACAGGATATTGGAAAACACTGCAAAATGGAACATTAAGTTTGGCTTAATTAAGAAAGACTACATTGCTGGAATTATTAATTGCAAATTCTCTTGAGAATAATTTCACAGGAGATTGAGTTACTGCAGGCCCTGGCCTGATCCGAATGGATGGCGTTGTTTTAAATGACAGAGCTGAGGTTATGCGTCTGTGTGTGTGTGTGTGTCGGTGTTAATCAGATCCTGGATTGCCTAATTTCAGAAATTAAATTCCTTGTTTTATTCAATTAGTGTGTTAAAGATGATTGGCAGTGCTTCTCGCGACGCCGATCACGTAGCCTGATTACACACAGCATTAGCTCTGGTCATGGCACACCCAGCGACCGGGGAGCGAAGCGCTGTGCTGCTGGGGGTGGCTCTCCAACCACGGCAGCGCACTCGGAGAAATTCTCATCTGGTTTCTGACACAGCTGAACATCTCGACTGCTGTGTGGCTGGTCTCGCTGCCAGGGCTTGTCACCATCTCCCTGGGTCCCCCCGGCCTCCAGGTGCCTCCAGAGCGATGTGAGGGGCCACATGCGGGCGCGGGTGCCGCATCTCGGGGGAGCCCGGCCACCAGCCCAGCGTGTGCTCGGGCCAGCCCAGCTCACCCTGGCGATGCGCCGGCGCGTTTCCAGCCTCGACGCTCGTTTGAGATGAGCCGGCCACCACTGTGTGCGCCAGGCAGGCGCTGTGGTTTGAGCGCTGCTTGATCTTGGACGCGATGTCTCAAAGTAGAAGCCTGTGGGTTCCTCTCTGGCTACTCAGCAGTGACTACTGTGGCGCAAAAAATAGAAGGCAAAGGAGAAAAGGAGCCTGTTTCTCGGAGGAGCTGATTGTGTGAAGGGCCCAGACTGCCTTTCATGCCAGCACATTAAGAGTTGTCAACTCAGCTACCTATATGTTGAAAAGACTTCCGAGAGCTTGGCTGTGTTGAACATGCAGAATCTCCTGCCCTCCCCTTTTTCGATAAGTGCTAAGCAAATTAAGAAAAAGTAATGTCCTAGAGACTGGGTCCATAGAGGTATTAAATAGGTCAAGGGGCTTGCTGCTGGTTGCTTCTGTTAATGTTTTATTTTCCCTGAAAATCTGCATTTTTCTTTGGGCAACTTAGTTGAAAACTAGATTTCTTCCCTTGGAAAACACAAGTTACTTACAAAGAAACACCACGTGCAAATTAGGTACAGCAGACAGCTGGCAGATCACAGCAAGAGGTCAGTGTTGAGCCACACCAGCACATACCTGGAGGATGCTCTGCAGCCTGGTCCCTGGCAGAGGGCTCTGCGGCCACTGGGGAATGAGGGACGCAGGCCCAAGGCATCGGGGACATCTTTATTATGGTTGTTGGCAAAGACCCACTGTAACCCCACTTACGTGTTCTCCTGAAAGGTTTCTGCTCCCTTTGTGGATTAAGGTTTAAACCAGGTCATAGTAACTTGCTGACTTAATGCTGTGGAACAGATGACGCGTGTCTGGTTTTGCCTGCAAATGCCGCTTTCTTGGCATGCAGGTTGTGGTTTTGGGGGTACCACTGGTGGTACAGACAAACCGCTCAAGGAAGACTCGGAGCGGCGAGGACAAAGGGCTGGTGCGGTTCAGCAGAGAAAGCTCCGAGAGCTGGGACAGCTGCCCCATCCTGGTGTCCATCCCTCCTGCCCCGAGGTGGCGGGGAAGCATCGCTTGTGAGTGTTGGGAGGGCAAGGCTAAAGCGGGATGCTGAAAGGCTTTTAAACTTGGCTCTTTCTAAAGAAAATGCCTTTGTGCTCAATGGCTGGATAAAGATGTCAGCCTTTTGTCCCTAATGGTCTCAGAGCGAGAACCTGTAATTTATCTAGCAGTATTTTCTCCATTTCCTTTCATCTACACAGCCAGAGGACTTCCAAACATATTCCCCACCTATTCCAGGAAAGAATGAGACAGAAAAGCAACCGGTAATATATCTGACTGTATTTCAAAGTTGTTGATTGTAAACAAACTTTGTTGAAGAAATAAAATCACATGACAAGATATCAGAGTGATACTATAAATCCATTTTGTTATTGTTGCCACACTTCACATTTTTGGAACTCAGAATTTAGCTCATGGCGTACAAAACTTGTAAAAATTTATTGCAAGCGTGCTTTTGTGTAGAACAAAACTGGTGTCACAAAAGTAGTAGTTCCCTGTCCCATGCAGAAACACAGTTGTGTATCTCTTACTGTGAGGAGGTCACACACCTGCATTTCCTGAAAGACTTGGCTGTTACAAAATTGCTCTGAGAAGTGGGTTTTTTTTTTAAAAAAAAAAAAAGTGAAAAAAAAAAAAAGTAACTGCAGTGTATGCTTTACCTCTGGAATCTACACTTTCAACAGAAATCTTCAGAATTATAAAGAATATGGAATTTGCAACAGAATCGCGGTCGCTGATGTTGTGAGCACAGCCCGCTGGAGTCGTCCTGAAAGCAGTCGGCCAGCTCAGGCCTGTCTTTGCACCTGGTACAGTCACTGCATTTGATGGAATGTAAGTTGCACATACTGAAAATAAATAACAAAACACAGAGGGGGAGATCCCTTTTCCAGAATCCCCGCTGTCCCCGTTCCTACCACGGCGCTTCCTCGGCCTGTCACGTCCGCGCTGAGCCGGCACACGGCAGCGCCCCGACTGCAAGGCCGGGGCGGCCTGGCCACAGCCTTCGACTCCTTCTGCCAGACACGGCCGATTAGCCTCATCTACACTGAATCAGATTAATCTCTGGCATAAATCTGAGTTTTGTTGTCTCTAATCTCACCCCAGACCACGGGGTGAAGTTATTTTTCATTCCAGTATTGAAATGCCAGGCAAAGATTTGGCTTACAACTAGAAGAAAAATCCAGGTTGCAAAAGTAAGTCTAAGACACCTGCACTTTGTTTTCCATCAAATGAGTAACCATTTCATAGAGAGGGGTGAATTTTTCAGCAGTCATGTTTTGCATACACATTGACACGGATTAATTGGAGAACAAGACCACAAAGTTACTCTGACATCAAGTGAGTTGGGGTTCTGGACAGATGAACCTAGTGTACTGGGCTTGGCTTTTTGGTTCCTAGGCTTTTTTTGGTAACTAGTGAAAATAGGACAAAATGCTCTGTTTGCAGTCCAGAGCATGCTCTAAATACTTGAAGAGTAAAAGCATTTGCCAGCTTCTTTGTTTTAGAAACAGAGTTGCCAGGTCTGGAAGCAAACTGTACGGGCCTGGCATCTTCCCTTCTCTAGTAAAACTTAGCAGACCAGCTTGACTATGAAGTCTGTCTATTCAAGGAGCTTAGATCCCAAATCTCTCATCTTTCCCCTCCTTGTTTATCCAATCGGGTCCTGCACGTCGTGGCTCTACAGGACGGTGTTACGGTCCTTTCCCACTAGGTTCTTCGTCCAGGTGCCCCACGCGTTCAAGGGCTGTTGCAGTTACAGCAAATGAGCACTGGTGATGCAGGGTGATGCTCTCATGGAAAAATATTTTTGCACTACACATTGTGTGGATCACCTTGACATCTAATACAAGCAATTATTACCTCAGAAGAGTGATACAAAAGGGATTTACCACTTAAGGCCTTTTTATGATACCTAACAGCTGTTCACCAGACCCATCAGAGGGGAAGGGTTTAAAGAAAACCAAAACACCAAAAAACTCCCCAGACCATGTTAAAGGCCCCTCTTTGACAGCGATCCAAAGCTGAGGAATGTTACAGCCATTCCGATGGGAGCAGTGATGCTGATACCTGTTTTGGGTCCATACAAACCTGACGGGCAGCACTAATGGGGCAAAGCAGGCAACACCTTCACAGTGATTGCAATCAGTATAGGCTTCTGAAACAATACCCTGTTTCAACTGAGACTTGCAAAATAGCAGAAAGGATCAGCAAAGTAATACTATAAACGTAAACTAACAGGCCAATTTTGTGTTCCTTCTTCCAGACTGACCAAGAACCTGCAGGATGACTTGGATGTGCTCTAAATCTAAGGAATGAGGGAAGCAAAGGAAAACATATGGCCAGAAAAGTCTCCAGGGCTAGATTTCTGCAGACACAAAGCCATCTCTCAAAAGAAGAGGAAGAGACCCTTTATGTACAAACCACAGATAGTCTCAACTGTTTCCCAACAGTGCGATGATGATACGGGGGCTCTTCCAGTTCCAGTTTACAATGCTTCTTCAAACAAAGGTAGGTTTGGGATGATGGTTACAAGAAGGAGTATCTATCAAGTAGCACTGGTGATAGGCTTGCATTTGAGCAGGTGATGATGTGATCTGTCTGTGCAAAATATCCTAATTAATGACTGGCCAAATATATACATGGTTTGAGCTTAGAAGATCCTTGCCTTTGTGAGACGTTGCTAACAGTCCTTTGACACTTCAGTGCTCTCAACCAGACTGAGATGAGCTCTTGTTTTACAAATAACTAATCTCACATCAGTCCTAGCAACAATAAAGTGCCATGGCAAACTCCACAACAGAGATGGATGGAAGACTTCATATTCCATCTAAGCCTCAGTGACTTTTCTCAAGTAAGTCTTAGTAATTATTTGTCTGAATTTCACACTGATTGCTAGACTACAGCAGACCTTCAGATTCTCCATTTATCTCCTCTAGGCAGGTTGGGCTGCTGTGTTCTACCCAGTTTTCTCTTACCTTCAGTGCAACTTGGTTTTGACTCATACTAGCTTATACGGAGTAAGGAACCTGTGCTGACAAAGTCCCTCGGCCCTTACTTCAGGGTGAAACGGTGTTCTGCATGGTTTCATTTCTAGTTTGGAAAAGTTCATTTGAACAAAACCCAAGCCGCTGAAAATGCAGAACATGGACTTAATCAGCAAGAGTGCAAACTCCACTTTACAGTTTCATCACCCCCTTACCTGTGCTGTGCCTTGGTATCTGATTAGGGAAGGGGAAGGGATTAAGGAAGCTCCTATTTGAGGAGCTAATGAGGTCTCATGAGTGCTAAGGTTCTTAAAGCACTTTGCAATCCTTGCATGGGAAGTAGCACAGATGTGCAGAATTATCAGCGCAGCATAATCCCCCTCTCATCACTAAAATCAGTTCTAGGACTAGGTGACTAAGACATGTGAGACTGAGATATGGGAGGCTCCTTCCACTACTTGCCATCTCAAGACAGTCTAGTAAATAAATGTTGGAAGGAAAAAAACCTCTTCACCCCCCCCCCAAAAAAGCCATAGAAGTTTAACTGGAGGTCAAGAATGGGAATGTTGTTTTGAGTTTGTCTTTAACATCAGTCTGGAAACAGCTATGTGAATTTTTCTCTAGGAATTTCTGAAGAAAACGAAGTTGTACCCATTAGGGACACTGAGACTTCTACAAAGTGGGATTCTCGGACTACCTTGTAAATGTAGAAAGGTTTGGGGCTAGAGAACAGAAATGGAAAATGGAGATGAGATTTCTTTAAATTGTGCCCTAGTGTCAAGTGCACAAACAGGCTGAAGTAAAAAGTGGCAGAGTTTCTGCAAGCCCTTGAAGCATTTTTCAACTGAGACAACAGCAGTGGAAACCATTTCATGGTGGCTTCTAAGCTCTAGTGAGTGCTGCACTGCTCACTGGGAAAAGCAATGTTTTCCAAGAATGGATCGTGGCACAACAGACATTTCTTTAAAGAAGTATTGTGCATAGAAGGTGGTCAGTATGTCTTACTGATGGCCTCAGTTCTCTGAAACAAAGTTTGCATACCATAAGTAAGTGATTTTCAGTTTTCAGAAGTATGTGTGAATGACATTTCAATTCATCAGGAGAGAAACAAGCCTTGCTGCTCCCTTGTCTACGCTTCAAACTTCCCCCACCACCCCCCCTCAAAAAATGTAGAGACATTCCTCTGTGACCCAGCTGGCATTGCCACTGCATTTTAGCTACCAGTGAGCTATAAGATCTCTTACCCAGATTGTCCCAAGGCTACAAAAAACTCCCCTGACACAACTCAAAGTTGCTATTATTTCACAAGCCATTGCACAATTAACACATACGGACACACTATGACTAGCATCCTTGTACTAATTTGAGAATAAACCCCCCCTTTTATTTTTTTCCCCTTTAACTAGGGAAAAGCTTTAACGTTACAAGCAGGTGGGGAACCAAATCTGCCAGTATGCAGTAAAGGAAACGCTACAGAAGCTGAGCTGTAGTTAACAAACTTCTGCCTTTTAAAAATGATTCAATTTCTTCCTTAATTACTTTGCCTCATTTGGAGTAACATAGAGAAAGTGCAAGATCCTTTTTCAACAAGGAGAAATCTTAACTTTCCCCAACCCTATCCACTCCCAGTCAATAGACGGAGAAGATGAGGTGGAATAATCATCTGTGGATACAGACTATGCTTTGGTAGCTTTTGTTTGTTGGCTTCCAGAAGCAAATTTCAGGCATTTTCTACATACAAATATATATAAATATTTTTGCTTGCTTATGGAATGTTTGTGCATGTTTAGGGCACCAGTTCAATATGATGAAGGATGGTTAAGGCTAAGAAAATGAAATTCATTGCAAAGCTATAATTTTGTCTTAATTTTTCTCCTTTACAAAGGAGACTAAAGCATCTTCCCTGTAATAGTCAGCCACTGTGTAATCCCCCAGCAACACCAATTCTAGGGAAAACTACTCAGGACCCAGTCCCTGAGGCAAAAAGCTAGGACCTCACAATTTTAGCTCAAGTAATCCACATAATTAACAGCATACGTTAGTGGAAAATTAAACATTCCAAGGCCTTGGACCTACTGTCACCTGAAAAAGAAAAGGCATTTTCTGTACAGGGTGGCCTAGACCTAAGCCTTTAAGCACACACAGTAATGTTACAACTGGCCAAAGATTCCAGCTCTATCTCAGGGAGCTACGACCTAGCTGGAGAGCGCTGTGCTTACTCCTCAGAAGTGCCAAGTGGCACCAAGGAGGTCATGCAAACCTCCCGATCTCTGCTGTGGGCATGTACACCTTGCCAATGCTCCAGCACTGCAGAGGAATGGAGGGAAGCTGGACTCCCAGCAGCTACTGTTCATTCAAGCTGTCCCATCACCAAAGTTCCAGCCAGACCTTTCCTTACTGCCCCGATTTTAACAACCATATAAATTTACAGGACATAATAAACTTGTAGCTACTCTTCCTGTTGCAACATAGTCTGGCATTGTCTGAAGCAGGGAGCAATAAGAACACCATTTGCCTTTAGGTACCTCTGTGGAATTCCCTAAAAAAAGGAAACTGTGGGCTTGTATTGCTGAACATTTGCTTTTCATGCCTCACACTAGCTCCTCTCCCACTCTGAATACTCACAAGGCTGACAAGAACCAGCTACAACACACACTCAGTCTGAAAAGGGGTGGTTTCAGTTTTCTGCAGGGCCAAGAAGTTTTGAACTCATCCTTGGGCCCCTGTGCAGCTTGGCATTGCCAAAGACTAGAGCCCTTCCACTTGGAAACCCACTGCTGTACATCACGCAGATAGCAGGCAGAGCAGGGCATGTAGGGCAGTCTCCAGGCTGGATTGGAAGCAGAGCCACCATGGAGTTGGCCATCCCCTTACTCTCCTTGCAACCAGGTGAGATCTGCCTCTAAGTCTACTCAAACAAACAACAACAACAAAAAAAAACCAGAACACTTTGGTGGAAATAGAAAGATGTCAGTGCAAGGATGCTCTTTGGGCTAGTCAGTAATTTACTAACCCCTGCTGGATTCTTCCTCTGTTATGACTTACGTGCTATGCGTTTGCACATCACATCATGATGAAATCTGGAGAGTTCTCAAATTCATGTTGGTTACCCTCTTTTGTCTCTTGCCAGATAGACACATATAACCTGGTGAGGTTTACACTAATAAAGAAACCAATCAATCAATCAATCACTCCATTCTTCTTGAATCAACACAAGTCATTATTTGGTAAAACTTTTCAGGCTTGGTGACCTAAAACCCTCTAAACAACATGGCCTCTGCCCCGTAAGTTAATGCAATTCTGTTTGTGTCCATCACTGCTAACCTTTAGAATACAGGTTTTTTGCTGATTCAGTTGTGGACTGAAATCGATAATGTGTAGAGGGCAGGGTAGGATTTCACCTCAGCACCAGTTCTCCCCTGTTTCAATCATAACTCTTTCTCTTGACATTGTTTTCCAAAGCTTCAGTGGCCTTCAGATTCTACCAGCACCGAAACGTGTAATTTCAGCCTTGGGCACCAGCACATGACGGTGCTCATCCTCCACAGTGTTACTCAGAACAGGAGAACTCTTTGGGCTTGCCCTGTTTTAGTGAGGTTTAAGGTCTGGTTGCAATTAGACTTTTTTTTTTTTTTTTTTTTTTGTAAAACACAATGCTATGTTATTTTGCTAAACATGTAATCTGCTTAATTACAACTACTGTGACAAGCCCTGAATTCTAACACAACAAAATCCTACAGAACACCCCACAGTGATAATGGGAAACACACTGCTATTAGTGACTTATTTTTTTTCCTGCCGACTGTGTGCCAAATGAAGTTCTAAAATGGACCAAAAGAGTCTTGACAGTTAAAAAAGGAAAAGAAATAAACTGTTGTTCCTAAAAACCTAACAGTCCATTACATTATATTTTTAAGCAACATTTAAGATACAGTTGAAATCAAGCAAAAATATAATTGTTATACTTTCATTTCTCACCTGTACACCGACCGTGGCAGTTAAGATGTGAGGCAGTATTACTTACTGGTTTACTCACTGTTAATACTTACAGTATTACTCACTGTTAGTGTATAAAATGTTTCATCCTGGTTAAAAAAGAAAATCAGTGTAATGTGTTTCCATTTTAAATTCACTAATGTATTTGGTTTCTCCTAATTTTGCTGTGTTCTAACTGGGGTCAAATTGCCTTACATTACATTAATAAAAACAAAGGAAAGAGAAAAAAAAAATAGACATAAAGTAAAAGTCTTAACCAGTCCTCAGTTCCTGGCTGCCTGCCTGTGAAGGTTTTGTTTGTCAACACGCTCGTTTCAGCGTTGGTGTATCTGGACTGCTTTGTTTAGCACGCTGGGGGGACAGCAGCGATGCCTTACAGGGCAGCCGGCGCGCTCAACCGCAGCCCATGGTGCAGACTTACGTTGCGTGTCCCAGAATTGAGTAACTCCAAGTAAGGTGTAGAGTTTTGTGTAACGCCCGCCTAGGACTGCTGAGCTGTGTCAGCTTAGGACAAGCTCCTAGCCCAAGAGGAACTTTGCAAGATGACCCTGTTCAACAAACGGTATTGAGATGACGACTAATTTAAGTCTCTTTCTGGTGTACAGATTCCCACAGGGCATTCACATATGCAATTTCGTGTCAGCTTTTCCAGTGGCACTTTCTGCAGGACATGTTTACATCCAGCTGCTACTAGAAACAGTTTCCACCTCTCTAGTGGCATCACTTGGCATTTTTGGGTAAGGACAGCACTGGTGGTGTCACAATTTCCTTGCTTTGCTGTTCCAGGTGTGGTATCTTCTTCCGCTTACCCTCCACCCCCTGCCTACGCCACCAAGAACAATGCATCAGTGGGAGGGTGAGGTGTCTTCCAAGCCCAGAAGCTCCTTTACAAGTCTTTCACCAAACTGTGCACGGCTATACCTTGTCACGTGGTAGGCCTCTGACATTTTGTAGAGGATGTAGGCATTGTTTATAGCGATGCTGATGGCAAACCAGAATACTTGTTGCCAGGTCTTGTTTGGTTTGTGAGAAATGAAGTACCTAAAAAGCCAAGAGAGAAAGGGGGGGGGGGGGGGTGGGGGGGGTAAAGCACTGTTCAGCCACACACTTGCAGCTGGAATGCAAGAAGTAATCCCAGACAAAGATTCCACAGTCCCATGACTTAATATATAGCGGAAGTATCACTGAAATTTTGTACAATGTATTTGACAGTCATTGACAGTTAAACTGCACAATTTTGGAGATTTCTAGTAGTGTCTAAAAGAACAGACTTCCTTGCTCTCAGGAGCAAAACCTCAGCAACACTCTCACCTCTGTACCACTCCAAGTAAGTAAGAGTACAGAAACAGGCTCCTCGAGCTTACCCATGACAAACATCCATGTGATGGCAGCTGTGGGTCTGAATCTCTTCAATTTGTAACCAAAAAAAAAGCCTCAGGCACATTACGTTATAGTTTAGGGAAGGCTGCTGATGCTTCTCTTGTTTATCCCTATCGCGTGCAAAGAATGATTGCTGCTGCTGTCAACACCAGGTGGGAGGATGTAGGGGTAGAGCCAGAGTGTGCAGTGCTGGTATGTGCAGCACCTCTCCACGAGGCAGAACTAGAAAGGACTGACATTCTTATATTTAGTTTCTGACTTATTCTAGGACCACCAGAATATTTGCTTTTGGGTCATAAGATTTCCCACTTTCCTACCTGCACTCTTTTTGTAACCATTTAAATCTACTACCTCAGCTCTTTTTCATACTGATTTCCTCAGACCAGATCCCAACATCAGTCTCCAGCAACCACCTCCTCCTCTTTCATCTCTTCTACTGAATTCTTGCTGCCTTGCCCAGACTGGCTTGGAGAATCCCTTCTGCTTTTTCTCACTCCTCAATTTTTAGTTCTTGAAATCTTCTGCACCTCATCACTATTCCCACAGCCAACCTGCACCACTGCTATACTTATTTGTTTCTACTTCTCCCTGCTACAGTAAGAGCTAACACTGAGGACCTCAACTGGAATTCAGGAGCCAGAAGATCTACATTCTGCTCTCCCAGATCATCTAGATGAGCTTTACATCCACAACTGAATGTCCTTTTCTTTTGACTCCAGGTGACGTAAATATCACCATGACAGATAACCACCTGAACACCATCTGCTGATAGGGGTGGAGAGCTGAGCTAGTTTGAGACACTTGTGGGGCTGGACGACCCATGCTGAATTCTGTATCTAGCCTTCAATTTGATGTGGACAAGAACATCAGCCTGCTGGCTCATCTTTCCCACACTTCTTAAAAGTTGTTTACAAGATGCTAAGAACAGAAGTCTCAATTTTTCTTGGACTGGTGGATGGGTAGGTAGAGCCAAAACAACACTAGCAATGCATCTCTTGCCCTTGTGCAGAGCCAGCTTCTGATCTTTGACTGAAACAGTTTTCCCAGAGATTAATTCTGTGAAAGCAGGATTGGGCCCTCAGTTACAGCTCAACATGGAGAACTCAAACACTGCTGCAACACAGAAGGAATGAAAGAAATACACACTCACACACACACATATTCTTACTTACTTGCTGTATTTGTCGTCGTATTTGCAGATATAGCTAAGGTGAGCAGCAAAGGCTTCAACTGCCAACGGGCATGGAATTTCTCCGCTTTTTCTCTTAATTATAACTCCTGCATCAATTAGAAACATCACAGTTTTAAATCCACGTCATATGTATAGCAACTAAAAGATATGGTTTTTATATATGGTTTATTATAAAATAAACCTTATTGACAGTTTCTGTCCTAAAACTGGGAAGTTATCTGGAACAGAGATGCTAATTTGATTTTTTTCATTGATCTAACATTGAATGAGTGGAAGGGGAAGAGGAGGGATCATTTTTCAGTTGGAAATGAAAAGGTGTTAAACACAAACACTTTTACCGTACGTTCAGAAAAAAATGGCAATTGCCATAGTCCCACGGTAGCCCCCTACAGACAGTGTATCTCCTCTGTTGGTTCACAATGAGTTGTGGTCACCTCTAAAGCTACAACTTGCTATTTTATGCTTTGAGTTCTGAAGGTCCCGAACAAGTCCTTTGAAATTAAATCCTTTGTTTATCTCCACCCATGCGGACCAAGAGCAACAGTACACCTGCAACTACCTACCAACCCTTCTCTGCATGGACAAAGATGCCGTGCCTAAGGCAGGCTACTCCAAGAACAGGCCCCGTTCCCTCACACGGTGCATCTTTGTTTTGGCCTGCTCCAACACTACAACAGTATTTACGAGTCCGATGCTCTCCCAAGAAACTCCCTTAGCTCTTCTCTGATTTATTGCTCCTGACCTCCACATTTTCCGTATCGGGGGGAAGCTCCTTGTAGGAGGGAAGGAGTAAACCAAATTTAGAGTATAAGGGTCTGTTCCCCTAATTTTGACTTTATGTCCCCACAGGCTTTGATGGTCAGCTTTCCAGGGTATGGTTCACCCTTTGCCAATGTCTGTGGCACACCGGCTAGTGAGGATCCCTACTCTCTCCCAGGCACAACACTATTTTTCTCCAGGCTTAGAGAAACACAGGCTTGGTCGCATCCTTTCTCAGCATTGTTTCAGTACAGGTACAATTCTGGGCTTTCTCATTTCTGAAGCCTTCAAACTCTCATTGCCTTCCTTCTACCAACATTTCTACAACCATCCCTAAAATGCTCCTCACGTTTTGATTACAGACTTGACCATCTCATTCCTTCAGCTGGAAGTCTCATTCCATCCATTATCCCTGTCAAGCCCCCTGTGCTGTCCTAGCTGGAAGGCTCTATTTTGAAGCAAGACTTATGACACATACTAAATGTCATATTACAGCTGAGCCATGCAGCAATTTATTTAGGGCCTTTAAAGTAGGATTTTTCAAGAGTCCAAAATGATACCACCTCTAAATTGTTCAATACACCCTCCTTTTACCTCTGCTTCCCCAAGCTGGATGTAAACATAGCCCAAGTGGAACGAAAAAACCCCAACCAAATAAATAAATCTTTCATTACATTCACATCCTTATTACGGTGCTTTTTTGATCCTTTTAATGAGTTCTACAAAAATCTTGCCAGCATGAGCTAAAAAAGGCTGATATACCACCAGCCTGCTGCATCAGTGCTGCAAAATCACTTACCATCCCACCTGGGTAGGTCAGGAAAAGGTAAGTATGTTCCTGGTGCCTGCATTTGACAACAAACCCCCCCTCTTTCTCCTCTTGTTCTCATCTCTTCTCTTTGGAGGATTTATATTTTCTTTGCAATTTGCTTTGTATTCACAATCCATTACAAAATGCATTGCAGTAGCAGCTATGTGAGCACCATATACTCCCTCTCACTTTCTATTATATTCCATGTAACATTCGTCTGTTTTGAGAATATAAATAGCTTTACAGGCACATTATTTTTGTAGCCTCTCCTAGGCTTGTTTCGTAGCCATAGGCCATCTCTCCAGGGAAGACAACTGCCAGAGCTGGTTTGTTCCTAGCTGGAGCAGCAGTCCCAAGCCAGCTGACTCACGGACACGGCTGATGAGCCATTTCCCCTCCTGGTCCTCCCCCAGCATCGCTGCGCTCCCGTCCCTGGCAGCGCTGCAGCCACGGCCCACCCTTGCCTGTGTGCTGGAAGGGGGGCTGGCTGCCACCCTCCATGCCACCACCGTGGACAGGCATCAGCTTTTAGGTTTGGGTTTGTGGTTTTTTTTTTATTTTTTTTTTTTGTCCAAGTTTTTAAGCTGTATGTTCGGCAAGCAAAGCTTGGGAAATACCACCCCAAATGAAACAAGCAGAAAGTTAAAGGTACACATATGTTTGTTTCCTCAAAACACTTATTCTAAGCCAATATGTGACTTTAGGAGCTAGTGTTTTTTTAAAAAACAAAGGCTCAGTAATATTATCACTTGCATCCACCTTGCCCAACACTGAGACTGCTTCATGTTCCAAGTGGTGCATGGCTTTTTATTAGGACTTAGATTAGTTACAGTTCTTTATTAGAATTGCAGACAGTCAGCGTTGTACAAGGTCTAATGTTCAAGGTCTTCCCATCAGAGTCCTCCAGCCCCATCCCCGCTCTCGTCGTACTTGGACACAACCCCCTGAATGTAGTCTCACAAAGAATACATGGAAGTTTAAAGTTAAAACCCTAAGCTTCCCTGTCCTGAAACATACCTTTTTAACATTATGCTTCTTTCCCCACACCTTCCAATTCTGGCCCAATCTCACAAGCTGACTTTTTCAAATTGTCACCAGACACTCCTCTCTCCAGCTTCTCCTGGGCTAAGAACCACACAGGGACTTATATGATTGCTTGATACAACTGCAATGTCTCCACAACATCTCCCATCTTCTCATAAGTCACTTGTGAGATGACAACACACTATTTGAAGCTCTGTAGTCCTTGTGTATGTGGCCCAAGCTTTGTTTTCTATCCTTAGCTATTGTCCATTTAGCTTTTAAGTAGAGGTTGTTGGTGAAGAGCAGCTATGAAAGCTGTTCTCAGAAAGAAGCTACTTCTTAAAAAGGTCTTGGGTTCAAAAAGTTTTTGCTAAAGATGTCATTCTGGTTATCCTGCTGTGCAGCAAGTGAGGTTGCTGTCTGCTCCATCCTGCTTCATATGAAAAATAGAAAAGACTGTAGTTATTTCTAGAACACAGTAGTGGAGATGTTGGAAAAGTGGGCACCAGATTTAGAGTGGAAAAACAAAAATGCAGCCTTGTCCCACAGATGGGGAGGTTTGGGCCAGCACATACATCACCTGCTTTAGAATAAGGGTAACTTTTTACTCTCTAGGGGTTCCAATCTCTTTTAGCTTCTTAGTTCTTCTGTAATACAGGCACAGGGAAAAATTAAACTCAAGTTAAAGCTTAAGGGAAATTAAAAACCCCACTGAATTTTGTTCTAGGCAGAAACTTCATAATTGATAGCAGAGTAAGCAGGACATTTTTGCAAGACTAAAGGAATAAGACTCATCCCTTAGCGTGTGAGATGATGTATTATGACACGTTGGTTCAAAACATGAATAATAAATAACCTGCTGTGTCTAAGAATAGTATTCATAGATCAGCTCCGACAAGGGTACTGCCCTCCTGGTGCCTCTGGCTTGGGTGAGATTTGCATTCTGAGTACAGGCAAGATTTACCTTCTTGAATTTCCTTTAAATTGCAATACATAGCTCATTATTAGCTACACCACCTCTTATTCTCATCCTAAGTTTTGATCATCGCTCGACTTCTGTTTTTAAAGTTTTCTCTTCACGGCCTCCTCCACCCCTGTCAACATTTATGCTCAATCAAGTGCAAACACACACCACGCACTGTCAGGTGATCCCACTGGCACCAGTCTCTGTCCAGCTACCCTGCACGGGTTTCATTCCCCTTTGTCTTTACCTCCTCTCCCATCTAACACACATGCTCAGCAGGTCTGTGCTACAGGCTTGACTCAAGGAGTATAGATTCCTCATCTTCCTCTTCTATATTTACATGCCTTAGAGAAGACTTTGGTGGTCCAGCTTCAAGTTGGTTTAAACTAACTTTGCGGCACTGAGTTTGGAAATGCCAAACTAGAGGCAGGCAATCTGGTCTCCTGTCTTCCTACTGAGTCTCCATCTGTTCCCAGCTCTCCACCACAGACTCTCTTCCCTCCAGCATCACTCTAAAAAGCCAGCCTCTGTTTTCTGCTCTGATTCACTGTGAACTATGTGAACTGTCCCAGCCAGCATTTGGAGAGCAATGTGTTGGGCAGGTCTTGCCCATCACACACAGAGGTCCTAATCAGTGGATGTTGAACTACCTCACACATGCAACCTACAATCCCATCTGTGCCAGAACAGACCCAAGGTCAACCACAAGCACAACAGCTCACGCCTCCACGTGCTGCCTGGAAAGGATGCTGCTTTTGCTCCCTCTTTTTAACAGGGCGGTTAACACTGACATTTACAAGTAGAGTATTTTTACAGTAATATTTATGAATTATAACCAAATGCTCTGTGCTAGCCTATAAAAAACAGGTGACATGTAGTGATAACTCTTGTCTCATTAGTGCATCTGAATAATCTAAATCCAGCACAGAGCACAAGGGAAACAGCATAAATCCTGTTGGTGAACACCACTCATGGTGAACAACGCTGCTCTGGAGATTGGCTTCAGCAGGGTCCCCAAAGTGCCATGTTTCCTTCATGTACATATTTTCAGCATTTGTGCTCAGACATGAGTCCAGCAGAGTCACCAAGTCCTTGTTCTGCTGGGGTGCCCAGCAAAATTCCTCAGGATCAGTCACACTTTGCTATGGTAATGAGTCTTCTTGCAAGGCACTGAATGACACACTAAATCAACTTCTCAGCTTACCATACAGTAATTCAAGGCCTTAACTTTGCTCCTCTAACCTGTACACACATGTGAGAGTCACTCGGGATTCAGAACGTGAGTGTACAAGATGCCTTTGAATCAGTGGCTTTACATTTAAAGGTTTAGGTTATTCTTATTTCTCTCAGGCAGTTATACATAAATCTGAATAATAAAAATGAAAAGAAACTGAAACAATATTTTCACTGAAAGACAAATTTCAAAGAGCTACCTAATCATATTGCATATTACAGAAGTTTCCAAACCTTTTTAAAACCATCTGTGTACTTTTGAAACGGAAAAGATTTCAGTATCAAGAAGCTCTTTGCAATTATTTGAACTATGCTAGTTATCTGTTTTGGTTTCTTTTCCTCAACTGCTAAAATCAATTTAACATACAACAGGAAGCCTTAATCATATCTACTTTTGGCAAAAAGACATTTGCTTGTGACTAAGTTTTTATTGGATAAATTAATGGTAGGATTTTCTCCGAGTTCTAAATACCTCGTGATATTTATTAATTTTTTCTGTAGCAGCAGTCCTACAAGGTGCTTCGCAAATGGGGCTAGTATAGTGTTGTACAACAACCATCTTTCCTTCTCTGACCATCAGTAAAGATAGATTTTATACCTAAAAGGACACTGCCTCCACCATCTCAGGCAAAGAAGGCTGCATTAGCAGTAGGCTTTTAACCTTTGTATAGGAAAAATGAATAGCTGTAGGAGGACACAAAAGGAAGTAATCACTACTGCTACTGTTTATCTAGGATATTATGATCAACCTCTTTGTTCAGGCTTATTATCAAACTCAGTGAGTCATTTTGCCTTGTCACATAAAGCATGTGCACTTTCGAGACGAGCAGTAGGAATATTGCTTACCTTGTTGAACCGGTGAATAGGCGTTGGTCAGAAAACGAAAGTGCCCTTTATTGTACCAGCAGATCAAGGACATGTTTCCCTTCATTCTTATTCTGTACTGTCCTCTGGACTGGGGTGTTTCCGGATTGTTTAGCATGGATGGAGGTAGGCCTGTGCAGTCACTCTTCCTGGTGCTCAGCAACCCACAGCAGTAAATCTCTGCATGTGAACAAAACCATTCCTTATCAGCAAGCCATTGCATGGACCCAAAAAGCAAGAGCAGTGGAGCAAGTCTGAATGGCTGGACTAGAGAAAAAGCTTGTCCTATGACTTTCTAATCCAACAAATATGTTAGCCAACTGGCCCTCTCCTGTAATACCAAAGGTTTGAGTCCTACATCAATGTCTCTGGAAACTGAGACAAGGACAGAAAGCCTGCTCTCTTGATGAAATGTATTGACATCTCCCGCACAGTCATTATGAAATGACAAGGAGAAGAATTCAGGTTATCTTCCCAACGATAACATCTATAATGTGTGTAATAGTCTTCACAACATGTTTAAAATTGGACTGAAAAAAACCCCAATGGTGATATGCATTATGGAACAAATCAGAATTTATGATCCAACAGAGTCTTTGATGTTTAACTAAGAGAATAAATTGTGGAAGGAGCAGGGAAGTAGGGAAAGCTATAGCATCTTAGATGTTAACTGAAATAAATTCTCCTACATGACTCCCATGATGCTTTTAATCACAATATACATAGCTGAAAAACTTTGATTTAATCTACTGCTTCACCCTGCTGCCCAGTTCTTGATTTTCAGCTCACTACATCTTGCACCTGCATCATGTGGGTTAAGGAAATGCTGCTTCAGCAATAAAGAACCACTGGTTGATTTAAAAAATGCACGTGCCAGAAGGATGGAGAAGATGGAAATACACGTTCAATGAAAATGGATTTTAGGGAAAGGAGATAAATCAAATAGTGCCCTAGCTGAGTGAGCACTCATCTTGTCCTGCACAGACATCAGAGGCTCCCCAGGCAACGTATTCTGCTGTTCACAGCTTCTTGGACTTTTCATATGTGGAAGAGGCAATGAATCTAACACCACAAAACACATCTCAGTGCAGCCAGGTGGGCACAAACAAGATTTGGAGACAACATTAATAATGACAATGCTTGAGTTTGTCATTAAGCTGCGAAATAATAACGACCTGTTTCTGTTAGTCCAAGAGAAGCAGATCGTCTTGATCAAATTAATTGAACTCAAGGAAATCTTGGATGGAAATTTCCTTGGTCTCCCTAGGTTTTGTGTTAACCCACCTGAGTGGAAAAAAAACAATGGGCATGAAAGCAGGTGACATCTGTGCACATCTTTCATATGGCAGAGGAGGCTTGTGGTCGTTTAAAGCTCAACTATCAGCTAAATCTGCTTGATTAAATTTTTCATCATGCTCAATTTTGCACATTGGTTAACTGGATATCCTTACAAGGTAAACATTAAGTCAGCCTACTGTGTCTGGCTTCCCTGAGCATGTTATCTCTGGTTCTTGGGTTTCCATTTGTGTGGCTCTTCCGCCTCTGTCTTTCTGGAATGACCTAAACTCTTGAGTGCAAGTGCAGCCTTTGTCCTTGGTTCATATAGTGCCTGGCATGCTGAGCATCCCTGCAACAGCTCACAGATACTACAGGAATACTAATTTCTCATGAAATGGTCCAGTTGCTGTGGGCAGGTCTACAAGGAGCTAAGGTTCTTCCATCAGAAATTTAAGACACTCATATCAGGTCAACCAACACAGACATGGGGCAACTTCATTCTGAAGGAGGAAATCTATTGGTTGTTTCTAATGAATCAGTCCTTGGAAATTCCTAAGTTCCCTCCAGGAAAGACAATGCAAAAAGCCTGATGGCAACAGGCTTACAATCAAGATAGGAGGAACTGCACCTCCAGTGGAAGGCTTCTTTAAATTTCTTGTCTTCCTAAGAGGTACATAAACAGTGTAGGTCACGTACCTGCAAACTTTGGCATTAACACAGCAAACTTTTATAAAGCTTCCTTCTAGCCAGCACTAAGATCTTCCTGCTCTGATAACAAGCAAGCCTGAGAAGAATTTCCTTAGCTGCCTAAAGTTTATGACTCACTGAAGGGTGATACTGACTCTCTCCAGGAGACTGCAATGGTATAAAACTAAGTGAATAACTACATTATTGTGCTAGAGCTTCAAAATAGCAACAGCCATCTCTAAGATCCCGTAATAATTAATTGTAGCCTTGCCTTTAGCTCAGGCAATAAGCCTGCAGAAAACTTCCAGCAGATGTTTCACTCCTCATCCAGAATAATGGGAACCATTCCTCTCTGAGGAACATACTGTGTAACTTTCCTGCTGTATAACCTAGAAAAGTGCAGCACTTCTGCACATTTACTAGCATCTCTCACCATGGATGACACCCTTAATCTCTAGAGTTTTTTAAAACCACCCAGTTACTATAGCAATAGAAGCAATAAAAATTATGCCCATCTGGCTCAATGAAGTTTTTGTGTGTAATTAAATCAGAATCACAACAGGCGTTTGCCAGATACACAGGAGTCAGTGGAGACAGGTTGTCCTCCTCTGGTCTTCTTAAATTGTAACCTCAATACAAATGCATACACCTGAACTAGCTTACCAAAGATGAAGAAATGTGGTATGGTCACCCAAGATTAATTCCCAGGGTCTCCAGACCCTGGAGAGCTTGTGCTGAAGCCTGTTTCGCCACTTCTTCATTAGTACCGTTTGCAAAGGCAACCAGGCTTGAGCAAGTTCAGGCAAAAATACACATTCTGTCGTTATTTGTCCTGCATACAACGTTGGGTCAAGTCAGAGCTAGGGCAACTGGGGGGCCTGTTCCGGGAAGAAAATGAGAGCTTGATTTAGTCCATGTGCTGGAGTTGCAGGATCTTGCAAAGCTTGTGGGAGGTGCCACGGTTGCACAGGCTGGCAACTCCTGCAGCTTTGCCAACCCCAGCTGCTCTGTGGGCAGAGCCAGCTGCTTCTGCTGGTTCAGGAAATGCAAGAGGGACTTTTGGGGATCATATGTTTAAGGGAAGCATGGGACACAGGGCTTTAGGAGGTGCTGTACTTTGCAATGGACAAAACTAATGCTTAGAGGGGGTAAAAAAGTGATGTGCACTATCAATGAGTGTCACAGCAGATAACAATGACAGCTATCTGCTCACAGAACAGAGAATCTGGGTCATTTCAGTGCAGGTTTCCAGTTCTATTTAGAGGCCAGAGAAAGAAATGCTTTGTATGTCCCCTGAAAAATAAAAATGAGGTCTATTCAGGTTTTTTATTTTGAAAAATATCAAAGTACCCTCCCTTATTTTCTGAAGTTTTCTCAGCTCTTGGAATCTTCACAGATCTTAGAATTATGTTCACCAACATCCCCTTCTATTACTAGGCACGTATTCTCTACTGTGGGACAGTGAAGGTGCTACACAGCAGGCTTTCAATAAAGAACACTGTGGTTTTTGCAGTAATGCATGTGTGGGTTAGGGAAAGCAAATGATAGTTAAGATTCCACAAAAGTCTTCATAGGATCACAGGATCCTATGGATTAAAGGATAATTCAGGTTGGAAGGCAACTCTAGTCCTATCCCCTGCTCAGAGCAAGGTCAGCTCTGAGGTCAGACAGCACTGCTCAGGGGTTTATCTTGTCTGGTCTTGAAAGGACAAGGTAAAGGACAGAGACTGCACGACCTGTCTGGGCATCCTGCTCCACTGCCCTCGGGAAAAATCTTGCATCTAGTTTGAACTACTTCTTTTGTTTCAGCTTACATCCGTTGTTTTTCATCCTTCCATGATGCATCACCGTGAAGAGCCAGCTCCATTCTCTTGATGACCTCCTCAGGGTAGCATAAGGCTGCTGTTGGGTCACCCCAAAGCCTTCTCTTCTCAGGCTGAACAAGCACAGTTACATCCCCGTAGCAGAGCATGTGGTCCAGCCCCTGGTCAGGCTGGTGGCCCTCTGCCAAACTTACTCCAGCTTATCAATGCCTTTCCTCTATTGGCAGGTGAGTTGTGCAAAACCGTGCCAAGTAGGAGGCAATAATCACCCTCCTTGATCTACAGGCTACACTCCTGTTAACACAGCCCAGGGTAGTCTGCACCATCGTGGCTGCCAGGGCACGCTGCTGACTCATGTTCAACTTGTTGGCTACCAAGACCCCAGGTTCTTTTCATCAAGAATTTTGAGAGGAACTAATACCTTCTTAGTTGGTGCCTCTTCCTAGATTTTCCAGAATTCCCTTTAGTTCTATTAAGCGTCAGTTTAGGTTCCCAAAAAGTTTATAGCTTCTAACCATTAGTTTATTTAAATGTCCCCCCTATTTCTCTGTTGATAGCCACAAAAGAAAACCAAACAACATAAAGCAGTTAAGATCAATATCAATTTCTTTTGGTTTTCAGTTCTCACTGGGATTTTTCTACTGCTGATCCTGCTCTAGCCCATAAACTAAATTTTCTTGAACAAGAAAAGTAAATTTGTCAGTTTAAGAATAGGTCTTGAACTGTCATGAGCAGCTCAGCATAGATGCTCTTCAACAGACTCTCGTGACACTTCTTGGTCATGGTGTGGCCCTGTTCAGATTTAGCTGGGTAAGCCACATACCAAAAAAAGCATTAAGGTCATTGCTGAGGGTGACTGTGTGATACATTAGGAGAGATCGCTCTGCTGAGTGCAGGCTTCTCTGCCTGCCTCTCTGCAAGTGTACTGCCAGTGCAGCAGGATTCCAGCAGGTGCTGGCAATACATTAGCTGCTTTGCAGTAGAGTCAGTAAACACCACTTCCTCCAGGGCTCTTACTGACTTCACCGCTGCTTGACATCCCTAGCATCTAATCTCTCCCAGTGTCTCACAGTCCTTCCAGTGCAACAACCCCCTGAAAAACCTCAGAGTTAGACCTTAGTAACTCATGGCAAATGCAGACAAACCCATGGCCTTATTAAACAGAAACACTTTTATGGTCTCCCCATGATCTCCTTTATACACAAGTGCCACGCTATTCTGCAAAGCCAATAAACCTGCTACCTCAGTGTCTGACACCCACCCGCTCCATAGCTTCACCTCTACGCAAGGTGATAGAGTGTACCAAATCAGAAATTTAATTTTGGAAGCAGCTGTCAAATATCATTAAAAGTCTCATGAAGCCATATAACGAATCATGAACCAAACTGAAATCTCAGCATAGGATTAGCATATTTGATCAGTTAGTAAGTCAAAATACATGCTTTAAAAAGACATTACTGAATTTTCTACCTGCTAGAAACTGTTAATTTGAATGATCTGTTCAGTGTAAAGGACATGAATAATTCACTCCTGTGAACAATTTGAATTATCTGTAAGTAATAAACACTCATCTGGTTTAGCAGCGTCTTTTTCACCAGGGTTCTGGACTAACTGGGTCATGCCATATTGTCTTTATCCTTCCCTAGCTGAGCATAAAGGGTGCGACTCAGCAGTCAAGTTTTTGTCTGTCAGTCTTTACATTTAAACCTGACACATCTCAGGGACTAGGAGTATGTTATCATCTGACATCTCTGGGACTAGGGGTGTTATCCTCTACATTTTTTTGAACGCACATTTTGCATCATTGCTTTGGTAATCTTAACAATGTAATGCTTATAATCGGCTGTGAAAACAGTAATTTACTAAAAAAGAGTTTCCTCTGGTGCACTATAAATATGCTTGACTTCTTTCCCATTTGGCTGTTTCAGCATTTGGGAAACCATGACTGTTTTGTGAGAATATGGTGGTATTCCACCGTACTCTGTGACCTTCCAGCTTACCCAAAATAATGTAGGAGCTAGGTCCTGCATGGAGCTCAGAGATAGCCCTCAGTACTGGTGCAACCTGAAGTGCTCAACTATAGCACTGGTGCAGCTCACTGATGTTCTCATTTTAAACAAGAATCAAGATATTGTCTCAATTCCCAGTCTTTCCCCCTGCTTTCAGCCACATTTCATTAATTATCATGACCCAGGTGGATTTAATTTTCTGCAGTGGAAAACATGACAAAAGCAAAACTGTTGACAGCGGTGTGTTGAAAAGGGAAATGGACCTATAGCCTGCTCCTACATGATTCATAATGGCAACCTCCAGCCTTACTGCTGCAAAGGATCTACTGTATGGACCACACTGACTGAAGAACAACCCGAGTTACATTGAGGTGACTTATAAATGACTGTCAAGAGTGCATGAGCCTGTAATTTAAAGGGAGTCACAAGTCCTCAGCATTTCTGAAAGCAAAGTAACACGTGGCTTTCCTACACCCAAGGTGAGGGGGCATTTTACAGGGAGGATGTCCTGGGATTACTCTCTGTACTAGCAGGAAACTGCCTGGGAGAGCCACACTGCTATATCGATGAACATTCTGCTGGCAAGTGTGCTTTTGTAGAGTTTATTATGCTTTCAAAACTAAAACCTGTCCTACCACGGCATGTTTATACATTCAAAAAAGTGAACCATGCTAGGGCTTTTGCAATGGCATAAAATGTCATATAGAGAAGTCACATCTTTAACAGATATTAAACCACCAAGGACTTCTAAGACACATCCTTTAAGGATTCATCCCATCGCTAGTCTTTCACAATGGAAACAGAAAAATCACAGGCAGTGAGGAAATATCTTAAGAAGTTCCCCAGGCCATATAGGAGATTAGACGTTACATTTCTAATGCAAAGAACAAAAGCAATGGCTTTAAATACCCTTATTAAAAATGGTTTTACATCCTTGTTTTGAACTTTAAAAATATTTAAAGAGCAAGATTTAAAGAGCAACTTAGAAAGTCCTCTGCATAGTACCTTTTAATGAATGCAGTCTTCTCTTAGAGATGACCAACTTATCTATACAAGGAACTGAAATCTCAGTGAAGCCTTTTGGGAGTTTTTTTTTTAAGTCAGTGGCAGGAAGGCCCTTAGGTCTGTCATCATAAAAACCCAGTGAGTCACCAAATACACACCTTGCTTCTCAAATTCTTCAAAGAGATTCAGGCTGGTAATGCTTGGGCCAGTGAAGATGATGTAGTTCTTCCCAGAGGCGTTCTGACAAAGGCTTTTGGCCACCATACTGTGGAGCTGTGGTTTGTTCTTCAAAGCATCCAGCCCATCAGCACCACTCCCTTCTTTGAGATGGACGTAAATCTTAAATGAGAAACAGGGAGAAAAGTCAGAAAGTTATGAAGAATCCAGGAGAGAGCAGATATAATTGCTAACATACTTGCTCAACTCAACTGGAGACAAGCTGAGAGTCAAGGCAGCAGATACTTTTAATAAACTGCTAATATCTAAAGCCCCTTTCAAGCGGCTGTTGCTTTAAAACCACCTCAGGTTAGCTGGCACAGCGACTGATAAATACAGCGTCCTTCACCTCAGCTTAAGGGCTTCCTGAGGTTATTGTCGCTGTTGTGTAGTTTGAAGATTGTTTGCCTGGCAGGAAAAGACTGAAGTCATAACTGAGATGGTGCGTTATACTGAATCTGCATAGGCTTTAGTGCTGCCAGCAAAAGGAGAGCATGGGAACTCCAGTTTCAAGAAAGGCCACCACAAGATGACCAGATGGAAATGGCCCATTAGCTTCACTGCAGTAATGTTCAGATTTATTTCTGTTGGCAGCAACCGTTAAGCTGAGACACAAGTGCGTGTGCACCCCCATAAATGAGAGGAGCCAGCAATACACAAACCCAACCAGCCAGAACATCCTCACAGCACTAATTCTTAGATCCTTTACTTAGCTCATGATTTGGAGACACCCCACCGAAACAGGTTGGCCCAGGGAGCACGGTACAGCGCAATATGCTGCTGTTAGTAGGGAAATGCCTGGCTGATTTGCAGCAGGCTGCAGTAGCTTTAGCATGTATCCTGCTACAGTGCAGTCCACATTGCTATGCATTTTAAGGCAGATGTCACCATCATCTGTAGGTGGACATACATGTTTGTGTTAGAGTGCAGGAACATTTATCCCTTAGTAATGTGATTATAATTAACCAAACAGTCCCACCAATCGAAAAAGCACTGAAGCAAAGCTATTGCTTCATTCCTACAAGTGATCCCTCTAGAACAAGAGTCTTCTGCATTGTCATGCAGAGGGAGAAAACACATAACCCTTCCCTTCCACATAAGCCTTCAATTGTATTTCACTGACAGTATTTTACAAGCATAACTTTCACAAAAGTTCCACACCCCTTGAAACCAACTAGGCATCCGACCTTCATCTTGTTCTAAAAGTCAGCAGAAATAACCGGCTGGAAAAAGAAATTAGAAGAAACAGACACTGTGCTCAGTCACTCAAACAATACTCTAACACCATGGAACTTGCAAAGACTTGAAAACACATACAAATGCAAATTTTCTGAAAAGTTTGCCCAGGCCTGCCTTTGTGACTCTGTCTCTGAAATACTCAAATCTTTTAGGAATTCCAGAAAATTTTACTCAGAGAAAGCTGAAACTTGCTTAGTTTTCAGGGGCAGGGAAAAGGAATTTTGCCATGTTTCTTGGAGTGATGTATCCACAGTGAGCTTCTGTTAAACTTGCTTGAGGCCTCAACCATACAGTGTATGCAGCATTGATTTCCTGTATATGCATCTGTTTCTCTTACTAACACACTCCTTCATAAAGCAAAGTTCATTACAGTGCTCAGAGAACAAAAATGCTTGCACATTTGTAGTAATGCTCCCAGTAATTTGTATATCAATGATCTTAGAGGGGAACAAAATTCAATTAAACAGCTTCTCCCTAATTTAGATGGTGTATCTCCTAGCACTGGTATTCTAGACGTATTAATGTAATACTCCCTAGCAATTCATGCATCGTGGAACCTACACCAGAGGACTGTGTTATGTATGAAATCTCTGAGAAATTACACTTAATTTGTATTTTGAAGTAACTGATGTGTTGAAGAACAAAGCTGGTGTAAGGATGAATATACGCTAATTCCAAAAACAAGAATAGCACATACTAAAAGGAAGTCTTAAATATACATTATTTATCTTAAAAAAAAAAAATCCCTTTTTTGATATAAACAGTTTCCAGATGAGGACAAAGGCAGGAATGTTTGTAGACTCACTGATTGCATTCCATTCACTTTTGAAAGCTGTCAAATTTGTGCTTTCCCCAATGCTAAGGCTGAGGACTATCTAATTACAGTAAGTCATTTAGGTTATTAATCAGGGCTCAAGATAGCAGTTTAATAGTAGAATGCATACAAAAGGCAGATTGTTCCAAATTTACAGCAAAGGTATATCATGATTCTTGGCATCGAAATTAAGATTAGGTTACTAGCTTGTCAGCACAGAGACCACACATCAAGCCCTTAAAATCTACAGACAAGGCACTGGTGACAAAAGATGCAGGCAGATGAGTTTTGACCTTGGATTAGCAGTTGAGCTGAAAACAAAGCAGGAATCTGTAAGTCTAGAAAAGTGTCCTACACTTTCCCTCCCCTACTGCAGTAAATCTTAGCGAACCAAGGGTCTCTCCTGCTCCACACTCAATTCATGTCCCCATAGAGTATCCCCTAAGAGGTAAGACAGTCTGCTGGTGAGCCAGCTGGTCCCTCACTGGTTTGGGTCTGCAAGCAGCTACCTTAAAGCGCATGCCCACCACACAACTATCTACTGAGGTATCACTCTATTCCTACTAGGATGCCACATACTCCACAGATTTTGTTCCCTGTGCACCTGCCACCCTCCCTCTGTACCCCTCTCTATCTTGAGAGTCCTTGTAATGGCCACCTTGTGATTCTCACCCCCCCTTGCTCTGTTCACCTCCCTCAGTGCCCTTTACTCAAACATCCACACCCACTGCTGAACTTTCCCTCCTCCTCCAATGTTAAATATATCCCCTGTTTTTCTCCTTGGGCATTTCCTTGCCTATCCAAGCACACCCATTATTCATGGTGCAATTTTTCTTGTTTTGGAGAAGCATCATTCAAAGCTTTATCATGCTCAGGTCTACACTGGGAAGATGGGTGACGGCAGCATAATGTTGGAAGGCATTAAGGCTGCTGTGAAACAGCAGCTGGGTACAGACAACTGGCAAAGGCATAGCTTCAAATATCTTTGCAAGTGCCTAGGATCCCATATGGCCTTATTTTCTCTCTCTCTATCTTCTCACCCAGCTTATTTCATTCTACCTCAAATCATTAAGATCCTGTCTACTGAAGTCTGCAGCATTCCCTCCCATTCTGTACCGCATTAGGAGTGGTATTTGTTAGCAGTCTGCAGAAAAAGCACAGAATTGCCAGAAACTGGCTGCAAGACCTTCACAGGCACAGTCAGAAGCTGCTCCCCCAAAATGGTTATTAAACCATTCACCAGAGCTTATGGTTTGCCCTGTGACAGCATTAGAGCTTTGTGCCCTTTCCACGTGCTCCAACAGCAAAACGTCGACAGATGTACCGGCTCGACAACTGCTGCTGGACCAGAGATGGAGGTGTTGGCAGCAACATCCTCTGCTTCTGCAGGTGACGGTCAAGCAATGATTCTGGAATATCTGCAGAGATCACTTTTACTGTGTATCTTTTTTCTAGTGGCTACTGATCTATTCAATCTACAGCACCAAATGGGGTAACTTCTATAGATGTGACGCCATCTGTCTTAGGAGACAACTACAGGCTAAAGCTTTTTATCCTGCAGTGTTGGAATAGAAATGGATCTTTCTCTAGTCATCACTCAATTATTTATTTCTTATAGCTACACATACAATTTTGCCATCCCTCTATGTACTGCAGCCCTACTGCAGCAGATGCTTTCAATTCAACATGTTTTAATCCCATGTGCACAATAGCAGCATTCTCTTCTCACACGATTTAACTCATCCCTCAAAGCCTCCTCTCTTCTGCCTTCAGTTTCCATGCAGCATCCTAACAGTCTCTTCTCTTGAAAAGCCTGACAGTAAGAAAAGACCTTGGCTCATCTATCCTTCCACCTACAACTGCTTCTGCCTCCTCCCATCACAAACACAAAAGTAGGTATCAATCGATATACCTGAATGCCTGAGCGACAGGGTATGGGTGAAGACTGTGCTGAGCTCTTCCAAAACAAGAAAAACAGTGCAGACTGTTCTGGAAAGACCATTTGCCTACACAGAGGAAATCAGAAAAGACATCACATTTCTGAGCAGGAGATTTCATATGCTGACAGATGAGAGGCAAGTCAATCACCTGACATTCAGAAACTCAAACCAAGTTATGTTCAGCTACAGAGACAGACTGCTAGAGAGAGTGCTATCAGAGGAAGAAAGATCTCAGAGTAGACATCTGTGCTACAAGCCAACAGGAATTTCTTTGCTCTGTGCTAGCAATTTACTCTATGGAAAATTCATGTGGAAGGTTCGTAAGGTCTCACTAGAAACTGGGTGGAAAAATGAGCACTTAGGAACAAAAGCTGCATTTGAACTGCATATTTAAGAGTGCCCTAGAAACTAAAATATTGGTGATTCTGCTCATATTCAAAACTCAGATAGCAAATTGAAAGCACTTGCAAATAGCACATCCCAAATACTCCACATTCATACATAATTGAAGCACCCCACGGTACAATTCTCAAATGAAATAGATGTCATTTGGAAGAAAAGAAAGGGCAGGGGTATTAATAACAAGAGGAAGATTTTGAAGGCTACATTGTGCAAAATATCTCACAAAGGGCAGACCCTAAACAACCACAAAGTATTAGCCAAGTGTTTAGATGACACAGTTATAAAAGCAAGAGATCAAAGAATAGTACTGTCATACTTTTTGGATGCTACATAGTTAGAGAAAAAATAACTTCATTTTTCTATAGACTTCACAGTCAAATACTCAACTGCTCATTCCTAACACCAACCTCTAGATCCTGTCTCACTCTTCCTCTCTCATCCTAAAACTCATCTCTAACTGCTACCATTACCGTCACCGTTGGGAGATCCTCCTCTTCAGTCTCACCCCAAACCTTCTGTGGTCCATATTCCCCACCCTTCTTTAATACACTCTTCCCAGCCAGCTCTTAGGTCTAGCTCTTCCTTAGCAGCTGTTGGCACCCCTGATGCTGCTCGTACTGAGAATGGATCTTTTCCTTTGTTTGAGCCTCTCTTCGTTCTCTTCCTACTCCTCTAAACGCCACTTGGGAAATGTATGCAAGGATCACACAGCTTTCCCATTCTGTTCC